TTCCGAATCGGTGTTGCTCTCTGAGTGCACGATATTACCTGATTTCATTCATCAGGGCTTGTTTAGATGATCTGTCTTATAAGTGACCTGCCCAAGTGGCCTCACGGATCCACTAAAATTTCGACAAGGGTGGGAGAGGCATGGGTCTTCGTTCTGGAATAAGATCACGGATGGAGTGGAGAACAAATAACATGTAGATTTCGCTTACCCACCTAGGATTCTCCGTTTGACTCCGTCAGCGACTGTCTCCTTATTTTCCAAAGCTTTACCTCGGCTTGCGAAATTCTCTACCTGTTTCCTCGGTTTGCCTCAGTGCATGTCAGTAAATCCGTCCACACCTATGTTCCGTGGATGGTTATTACAATAACCCTGGTCTTTAGCCTTCAGGGTGTTCGGATTGAATGCATCTTGTTCTGCATCTTGAATTCCGCTAATGACGACTCAGGATGAAACCAAAAAATTGGTGTACTAGCCGTACTAGCACGTATCTACGAAATATTTGCCTCCGTAATAGCACCCCCTGAACTACATAGATGAAAACCGCGCTATATGCGATCCTGTTTCCTCCCTAGTATGATAATCTAATGGGATGCGAAAATCAAAATGTATTGAGAATCGAACTCCAAAGTAGCAATCATAATAACGACAAGCTTAATCACCAACTCCAGTGAGTTTATGGTGTGGAATGCATTACGATTGAATAGGGAGCTCTCTGTTTTCGTCATGGAGTCGGGATTGTGACAATCATAGTCCATTTCTTCACCCAGTTCTATAATATGACAGTTCAGAAACTTCTTCGCTTCGACTCAGATCTAAAAATGGTTAACTTGTAAATATGGACCATGCTGAAGGTGAATCCCTCGATTTTAGCGAAGAGTCATCTTTATCCGTCGTTTTACATTCAGATGTAACTTCATCGATAGAATGACGCGTTAAAATACCCGTGAGTGCATGAATTCACCTTCACTAGAGTCGTAATTTCGACTTTTGATGCGCATTCAAGTCTGCCGTATTTGAATTATTCAGAAGTTTGTTAAGTTCAAGTCGGCATTATCACTAATCAATCTGTATAAAAATATTTCTGACAGTTGCCCCTACTTTACTACGATCGAAGCAATATCTGTTTAGTCAAAGCAATCACACAATACAGGAATAGGTCTAAGGATATTAGAACTACATCCATGAAACTGAACACCATCCAAATACAATGCAGTGAATAAAAAGAAGAATTTTCCCCCACACTAGCTTTCCATGGGACAATGGCCTATTCGGACCATCACCCTCAGATCAATATCACTAAAAGCTCAGAACATTCCCTTTATGGTGATCGTGCACCATCTAGCTGTGTTGCGAACGCGATATCCTTTGCACAATTTTGTGACAGTAGAGTTTGGTCGGTCTGAGAAGACTAGTTAGTCCTCGATGGAAGTCATCTTAATCGTAAAAACAGGTAATCGTTTTGCCAGAATATGGTGGCTAGTACACTGAACAACACGAACACGTTTGACGTCAATATGCTTTTTACATTCAACCGAGCTTTGTGTGTTGATCCGGACCAATTGCTAAACGAATGGCAACAAATTAAGTAACTTGGATTGGGGATTTTCAAACACCAGCTGTTTCAGGTTCAATCCGCCGAGTTCGAATAGACTATCGAATTGCTGTTTTCGAACACGATCATGACCCAGCCGTCATATCCTTTCCATGCACGTCCAAATCCTGAATATATCTATATTTTTTATTCGCCCCAATCTGCCTAACGCAATACAGGAACACTGGTCATGCATTTTTGTTGCCTTATACAAATTTCATACCAATCGCTGAGTTGTCTAGGATTATCACACAACTGACATAACTGTATGGGACGTCTTTTCGTAACTATCATGAACAGTCCAATGGTATGCGTTTAACTGCATGACTCGAGGTACTTACTTTGGAAAATCAAGGGAGCATTCAGCAAACTTGTTACGGAGTCACATTTGAGCGGACCTCTTCGACAATTCGGATTTATTTTTTGAGTGATCACTTCATATCTCTAAGTATCGCAAAAAGGTTTTTGATGATTCGGACTCATATGATTAAGACTTTTCGCGATTCCGTCATACGTATACCACTGATCTTAATTACAATCCAACCGGATATAGTTGTGATTCGCAAATACAAAAAGGAAATACTAATGCAGAAATCTGCTGCGAAAGATAAATGATTGCCTGCAATTCAATGCAAATCCTGAATCGGCTATGGCAGCCTTCACCTATGACGAGCGACCGGGTGTCGGCCTCAATGGTGCCCACATTTACGATACTACTAAACTAATTTTAAATTTAATGGTTTTCTCTTAGAAACCCTACAAATTGATTGGTTCAACGGTCATTGGTTGCCTTCATTGTAATTCATACTGAAGCTTTTCTCGATTTTGTTGGATATGTTTGTAAAACATCAACACATCTGATTACTTTCTATGAGCTTGTTAGCACATAGAAATATTAGAATAGACTTTGTTACGTGTTTTGCCCGTTGAGTATTATCATTCTTTGATTTAATAATACTCAGAGAGAAGCAACGTTTCATCCGGACGTGACAATGATCGTTTATAACCGTCTCGCCAATAGGTTACTCAACAAAAATATTTGGTGGTACATCCGACAACGAGTAGCCATGTATAAAAATGTACATGTTTTCAATTTGTCAGACATCATCAGTAATGCATAACGGTCGAAGATACGAGAACTTAAATGAAAATATCTGAGAACGAGGATTCAACATGCCTTATTTGCGAGGAGCAATAATAAATCTGATACGCTTGACAGTGGCATAAAACACTATCTGGTGATCAAATTTCATTATCAAGAGACACTGTTCAGCAATCATTGTTGAAAAAACTGAACTTTAGAAGTTCACTGACCAGTTCAGATTTAAACGTGCGTGTTTTAGAGCAGGACGGGGTAGAAAAACTACACCTATGCGGTGGTTCGTGGAAATCAATTTGGAAAATCCAGGAACAGAAATACCACTCGAGCATCTTATGCAAGCTTACAATAAAATTTGACTATAACAAGCCGGTTCGAGTATAAGTATAATCTTACCATGTTTATCTCATTTCAATGGCTTAGAAATGTCGTTTGAAATAACTCCTAATTTTGGAGACCTCGCTATTTCACCACAACTTAGGCCATCTGAATTCAGACCGTCGTTTCAACGGAAATGGGTGAATATAACAATCTATACAAGAGGCACAAGTTTGTTACATTTTAGTTCTTTATTATTATTTGCTTTTCACTCACCTCACTAATGCAACCGGAGTAGTTACTCTCAACGACAGTTTCGAATGTACAACTAGTGAAATAAAATGGTTATTTGGTTGTCCACAACTTAGATATTTATGTGTCAGTGTAGTGTACACAAGCATTTGTTGGTATAGGAGAAATCAACACGGGCCGCACAGTTTGCAGTTTGTTATAAATACATATCAATCATTTCTCTGTTCATGTTTTCCTCATTCGTTCATAGCTCTGTGGGGATGAAGTACAGATGATGGTGTCCAAAGTGTGAACGGGGGTCATAACCAGCTCGCAATTCATGTACACGTGTTTGTTTGGAATGAAGAAGGAAGCAAAGCCAGAACAGAACAAAATAATAGTAATAATAAAGAGAAAATAACAAAATGAATGAAGATGTGAGTGCTGGATCAGAATCAAAACAAGAATAAAGAACTAACCGACAATATTGAGCCTCTGGGTGCTTTTATTTGCTCATGCACCCGGATCGTTAAGGCAAAAAGCGGGTCCAGAGTGAAAATATGCCTTTTGAATGCATAGGATCAAGCGTCCACCTTCATCTTCTCAGCTTAGGAGAATCAAGGGAACCAGACGGTTGGGGACTTCGAAACGTAGCGTTTTTGGTAGAATGCATATGTGATAGGATTAATGCTGGTTGTGATGCAGTTTGTCGACAGATCAAAGCAAAGTTGATAACCTGTACGAAACATCCTTGGAGCGGTGAATTGACCGAACCGGATAGGAATTAGATTTGCAATGTATGATGAATTTATGACTACGATTTACCCGTTTGTTGTGATGCTTATGATGCTTGCGGTGATGGATTGCGTTCAAGAATCTGTTTGAACTGTGGTGAATGTTGTGGTGAAACCGGATTCCGCTGTGCTATCTTCCTGGTCATATTGTTCTGTCCCGTTACAATGACTCCCATTGTCGGAGTGCTTATGATGTGCCACAAATACATAGATTGCACCCTCGTTCGATATTTGATTGCCTAATTTTCCATCTGGTTCGATGTATTTCATGTCCACTGCCAAAAGCTCATTTTCATCGAGGTTAGCACACAGTTTTTGGAATAGTGAATCGCGACGTATATGATCCGGGACCATGCTCAGCACGGACTTGGATTTTTCCTCAGGTGGGCTTTCTTCGTGATTGACCAGCTCCGTTTCAATTACACACTCGTCTGGAGATAGCAAAGATGAATCCACGGAGTTTACTGGATTCACTTCTTCAGAGGGAATCGTGTCCACCGTAGCAGAAACGGTTCCTTCTGTGGTTTTCTGAATTTCCGTTTCATCCTGTACGGTATCCGTATCCCCGGTTAGGCTGGATTGGGAAGATTGATAACGTTGTGGACCACCGTCATCTTCCACAAGTCGATACATTGGATCTCGATGCGCGCGTTCTATTAGTTGGCACACTTCCTGCACATGATTCTCGTTCAGTCTGAAGAACTCGTAATGTTTGGTATCTTTTTCCGGATCGGCACATCCAAGAATAAGAATATCTGGGTAGTCAGCAAAAGCATAAAATCGATGAATATCCTTGTAAGGATAAAATTTTCGAGGAGGATGTGGTCCGAATCTTGAGGCTTTCTTCACTTTGATCGCATCCGTAAGACAGTAAATTTTGCATCGAATTATGGGTTTTGTCGATTTCGTCGCTGGCAAATAGTCATAAGCTTTCGCATGATCATACGCTTCACGATCAATTAAAGGGATTCGTCGAACCAATTCCCCGTGACCCTCAAACCAGGAGAATTTTCGTCGCCCACAACTCTTGGTCATTGAACCGGATTAGGGACAGAATTCACCGGGAAAATATGCGCAACTTTCTTGGTCACAGCTCCCAGTTTAAACACTATCGAATCACACAACACAACCGACGTGAACAACCACAGTAACACACGAGGGTAGAAAACCGGCAATCGTCCTGATCCACACAGTTAGATATGTGTGCTATCTGACCTAAGCAAGCACATATTATGTTCGTCCGTGGTCTAGGTTTGCCGGGGTGCTCAAGGTTGTGCGGGTTTATATGCGTGGGAGGGTGGATCACGATACCGCACCAAGCACATCTATGAGTGGCCATATCGTGCAGATTGACGAACACAGGACAGAGGAATGAAGAGTGAAGTGCAGACAGGCTATGAATGAGCGCAACAGGTACTCGACTCGAATCGGGTGTCAATCGGTGCCTTTACGTATTGATGTTCGTGTTTGTTGGCAGGAGTTCGTACCTGGATCACTGTGGACGATCCAAGACGCAATGTGACTCGAAAATTGGAGCGCTTTGTTCATACAATGGTGAGCTGGTGTGCATTACAACTTGGTCGAATCATGTGTACATGCAAAACACAAACTATACGGCCGTGGGCATAGGTTTGTGTGTGTGTCTGTGCATCTATGTGCATGTGCAGGCGCGAGATCACCGAACCAATCGCGAACGAACCGCTAGGAACAACAGTCCGATTTGCATTAAACACTAGTAATTTACATACAAATCGACAATCCGAGAAACTCGTTCTATCGAACAGTTAAACTGCACTGTTTCGAAGCGTTTTTTCACTGTTAAATTTTCTTGACTTGATTTTAGTCTGTTCACACAAAACACACGTATCTGTACACACGTAGAGCTGTTTCTTCATAACTTTTGCATTCTCTGAATTGATTCTCTCCTTTTTGGGATGAAAACCCACAAATTTAAGCCGGTGAATGCGAGCCGAAATTGGTCAGGGAAAAGAAACACTGGGTCATTTGTTGAATCATTGAAAGACTAAAATAAACAACGCATTTAATGCCCAGCCTAAAGGATGTCTGAAAATTCATCCTACTAACATAAGTGTCTAGGTTATTGGTCATCAGAAATTAACGGTCAGCTTTTTTGTCACTATTCCGACTCATCAGCTCTGCTTTTATCGCTCCTGGGGAATGAGCCTGGGGCACATATCGTGAACCCTGGTTCCGAAAACCGGGATTGTTCCAGATGAGCTGAATGGCTGACAGCCAACATTTTGTGCGCACTGGTGCATGAATTCCTGTACAGTTCATGTGAATTCATACAATTGGACGGCTGATCAAACTTTGGATCCCTTTTACAGTAAGCCACATTGCAACTGAGTGGTTTAAACATCGAAGGACTGTTTATTGTATGGAAGGTAGCTACAGATATCATTTTATATTTTATGAAATAAGTTTCACTGTCACAAAAACATATTATGACTGATACTCTAACCGATTTGTTATAAGCTGAAGTCGATCAATGAAGTACTCATTACGAAAAATTTAGATTTGAATGCATTTTGATTGATTACGCATGAATGATGTCTTTACACAATTCACTTCCTTTCGTTGGGCTTAAAGTAGCCTTGGACTTTGAGGACGAAAAATTCCAGGAGACCGTTTTCATTTCTGTTGGATTTCATTATTTTTTTATTACACACGTAAGTGTGATGAACAGACGGGACGAACCCCGTAGTCACGAGGACCTGCTGTTCAGTGGTGGATACCGGCAACCTAAGCCCCGAGACTTGGAGTGGCGCACCACATAAGGCCCCGATAGGTCAGGCGTGGTATTGAACCGGACAACAGCAGAGCTGCCTACCACCAAAGTTGGGTGGCGGTGGTGGGGCTCAAATCCCGGACCATAGGGTCTGAAGCACGCCGGTGACAGCGACTAAACCACTGCGCATTGATTCAAACAAGGGTAGAACGCGGGACGTCACTCACAGAAAGCTTGCATGCAAACGAGTATGCCATCAGGCTATAGACCATTATAAACGTTGATATTATGTGAAGGACAGTTTGACTCTAGGGGCTATGATTCAGTGGGAGACCTGGAAGCTGTGGGACGGAGTAATGAAAGATTTGATTGGACCGTTGAATTCTATTGGTCGTATCCTTTTTCAAACCTGCAACATTTAGCTTGGAAATCTCATACGAGTAACTATGTTTCAACTCATTAAAACTAATGATTCGTCAGCACAAGACAATTGCTGTGTTGTACAGTAGAACATAACAGGAAGCGTTAAGTAATGCATAAAAACAAATGTAATTTATACACAAAACTACTGGACTATCGGAATATTATCCGTCAGCGTATGATTTCCATCATTATAAAGTTACCGTTTATCGTCGCACCTAGTAAGAAAGTGATATCAGCACTGGTTGAAACAAAAGTACGTGAACTAGGCCACGACCAATAAAAGCCTGTCAGCCAGCAAACGGGAAAAATACTACTACGGTGGTGAGTTTCGAAGGCATGAAATTCCTGACAACCGAATGATGGTCTTTAACAGTCTGTGACTTCATTGATGATCACAGGCTAGTTCGAATTAGGAAACTAGACTAGAGTCAGGGATGACTATTCGAAATAAACTTTCACTTATTGAATATTGTGTTAATGCACTTTGATCACCAAACTACTCTTGCAATCAATTTTGTTGAATAACTTCTTGTCTCAATTGCATAGAGAAAATCTTCCGATTAGACAGTTTTAAATCAAATTGCAAATTATACAAGTCAGGAATGCGTTATCAGTCAGTCGACAGGTACGTGAAGAGTCCTGGCGTAGATCACAAAAGCCTAAAATCTGTGCATGGATAAAATATCCGAATTTTTCCTTGCCCACACACGCGTATGGCACACAAACACTGATATGGCTTCAACCAAGCGTGAAACAAATGGTTTAGACGAATAAAACAATCTACATAGCAACGGGGACATCACCGGTGTTCGGTTGTTGGTAGGTGGTTGAAATTCAAATATGCACGTTTCACCATGCTCGTAAAACATTCTATGCGCGATGATTGAGAAGATTCAGAATTGGTAAATATTCCGTGTTTCATCATAAAAATCGGTCGCTGTCATCTTTGGTAGCCGGTAATCACAGTATGTCATCCATGAAACGATTGTCGGTTTATTTTTTTATTTTTTTTCCTTAAAATAGCACAGAGCTCATGCCAAGAAGGAAACCAATCTCATCGCAGTTTTAGGAATACATTTTCAGCTCTACATGCTTTTCAGTTGTTGCCACCAATCGGTCACGTGAAACAAGAAAATTTATGCATCATAGTCATCCTTATCGAATTAGAGTAGCTCCGATTCTTTACAAAGCCGGAGTCCACCGTAGAATCATTCTATGGAAGCAGAATTCCTCTTATTGCAAATTTGCCCAATGGTTAGTAGACGCTCTTGATCCGGATCGCAGACATCAGATGTTGCACNTTGCACTGTAAAAGGAACATTACGCTAACCGACTGAATGAATGTTACCGAGACTAAATTTGTTTCTTATGACAATCTGTTTAAATCTGTTCACTCCAAACACTCTCACCCAAATTGTGATATTCTAAATGGTTGAAGTTGAAGTATCAGCCTTATCGCCGCTATAGGTAACTGAAACTTACAGATAATCTGAAATGAAATGAAATGTTAAATGTCTTGAAATGTCTTTTTACTTCCTTTTTTATTTATTGAATATAAAAATGTACAGTCAATGTTCAGGGAGGGGCTGCGGCCATACAAAGGATGCCTGGGGAAATACAGAAATAGGGAAGACGGGCAGCGGTGGAGCGGTTCTAACCCGAGACTTCCGGGTCACAATTTGGTGACCTAACCACTTGGACACATCTAAAAAGCTGTAGGTTGTCAGAGTCCAGTTGCGAAACCGAGATCTCGGCATGGATTTTCTAAAAGATGTCTATTTGGGCTGCTGGAAGATCAACCAGCGATGAAACACGCAGCAAAATGTATTATAAACTGAGCAAGAAAACGGGAATCAGCAAAGCCCGGCCTTCTCCATCGTGAAGTATCTCGAGGATACAACGATTACCTAGCCCTAGCTGAACCATCCGTTCAAACTAATACTGCATAATAGTAATAGAGATTTTTTGCGTTTTATCAAACCATTTCGATCAAAACACATCAACCTGCTTGTAGGTAATCATATTGTAATCCCTTTCTCCAAAACAAAACTTTGAAGAAAATTAATTACGGTACAACTAGTTAAAACTTTATATTTGCTTTATATATATATATATTTTATATTTGCTTTTCAACTGGCCAATACGTCACATTTTATATCACATCATTTTGTATAGAAAAGAGGAAACAAAACTAACGATTATTCAAATGGGGATTGTTGTTGTGGTTTTCTGTCCCAATTTCACAAAACCGGATATGGCTGATCCTACGATCGGAACTTACGCTTAGTCCACATTACTTGTGTGATTTGGATTTGGATTGGGAGGAGTGGGAGGAGGACGAGAGGTGCAGGGTCATGGTAGGTTGAGTGACTTCAAAAATTGTTTGGGGGCACACAATGGGGGATTATGTAGACGAATTCGAACCGCCTGTGCGGTGACTAGGATGCGATTTTTAATCGGCTTTGATCTACGACCGCGAACGCAGTAGAGAGGCCGAAATACGTCAGTCACTCACTGTGTGATCGGACACGATGAAGTGTGAAACGATAACACTCGTCATAGTTTTAATCACACCAGTGTTCAGCCTGGCTGGATGATGTTCCCCCTTGTGCGCCCAAAAACAGTTTGTGAAGTCACTCAACTCAGGTTGTCTTGAACAATGACACCGAAATCCTTCTCATTCGAGGAGCACAGAAATTGTTGATATTCCAGGAAGTATGAAAACCGAGTTTTGTGACGAATGGATATGATCGTACATTTTGATGCAATGAATTCGAAGTCATTTAAGTGTTCTCTGAATTACCAGTGAATCCTCAGGTTTGTCATTGCTTTTCATGTTCTCATAGTGTGCAAACATTGACGT